CTCTGAGTTCAGTTCCCAGCACCGTGAAAAGAAAAAAGCAAAGAAAGCACCAATCAGACCCAACAGGAGCTCAGACAGAGCCCTACTCCGGGGAGACACTGCCAGCCTCCCCTTCGCGCTGCGGTGAGGCAAACCCTTCACGCAGCCTGCGGAGCCCCGGTCTCTTTCTCTTCATGCTCACAGCCGGGCCTGGCCCCGGTTCCCGCAAGGCCCTGTGTGTTCACCCCAGTGGTCAACACCAGGCCACAAGGGCTCGGGCTGAGGGCCAGGGAGCTCGGACACCCATGATCCAGATGCAGCAGCAGCTGGGGACCGTCCCGGAAGAGCTCACAGGATCACAGCGACCACGGAAGAGGACCTGGGCCCCCTGGCTGCGCTCTTGGGAATTTACTTAAATTTTACTTGAGTATTGTGGAGCAAAGCAAAACTAAAACTAATCGAATTGCGCAAGAAATGGTTTGGAAAAAACCAATTATTTTTCCTGAAGGAACCCAAAACTGTCTCAGATATTCTAAAATAAATAACAAAAACTGCTGTGAAATCACCGATGAGTATGGCCGAGTGCAATATCAAAATAAACTCTTTGGAATATACTTCCATTAAAGGCAGTCACGTGGAAGGGAGGATGTACTAATTCCAACAGAATTCATATTTGTACAATATTCCAGCTGCATAGTTAAATGTGTACAGTTGTTTCCTTGTAATAAATAAATTCCCCTTTTTAGGCATTAATACATATCTTCATTTACAAGTAATAAGTTGCTCAAGATGTTAGTACTGGGCTTATTTATCACTAAAATAAAAACAGTAAAGTCATACTTGAGATAATCATGTCATATCCATTCTTTCAAAAAATTCATCAAATCCCTATTGTTTAAAAAATGTATCAAATTTGCATTGTACACATATGTGTTAATAATAAATGTTAGATTTAGAGGAAGACTAACATTCTATAAACTTGTGCAATTCTGCTTGTGGTATATTGCTTTATGGTACATGAAGTGCTTTTATATATTCTCGGTTATTCCTGAGAAAGGGTTTAAGAGTGGAACACACATTAGACCATCCCTAATTGGTAAGGAAACAGAAATTTCCTACCAGCTCCCACGATACTAAAAATACACTCACATACAGGTACATTTAAAAATGCAAGGAATTCGGCTCAGTGTAAGTAAACCCATTCATTCCTTGATTAAAATAACATTAAAGCAACAGAAACTCGGGGTTTGTTACTTAATAACAAGAATACTCCAAACAAACTTGATTCCAGCTTACCACTTCTCCAGAGAAAGGGTTCCCTCATCTAGAAACAAGGAAAAGACCGGACCAGGAGCGTATCCTTTGCAATTCTCATGTCCCATGGGCCTTTGAACTTTATACTTTTTCACTTAATAAAGTCACAGCGCTGCACCCGTGCGTGTACAGAAGCCATGTGCAGAGCGGTGGGACTGAAGCCGCTCCCGGGGGGGAGATCTAACCGCAGAAGGAACTGTAAAACAAGCCCCGAGGGCAGGCCGGGCTGAGTCTGAAGCGAGATGCCCCAGCCGGGACCAGGGCCTGCGGGACGCAAGGAGGCTTTGGCCACTCTGCGGGGAACTCGCCCTGCGCTTCCGCATGAGCAGAACTGACTGGGCCCCGCGTTCCACACGCGTCACCCAGCAACCCTGCTCCCTGGCCCCCGGCCCAGCCCTGCACTCGCTCCCCAGAGAGCCCTCATCTCCTACTTGACACAGGTAAGCGCTGACTGCCGCTTGTCGAGCTGTACTTCTGCAATCTCTCAGTCTCGATGCACATTTCCTCTCTTCCTAGTGAGCTCACACCCTGTTGCAGGGATGGCTTCACGAAGCCATCGCGCTGTACCTGCTGTTCCTTGAACACGGCCTCCTCTCAGGCCCATTACCGCACGACTGCGCCCCCGGTGGCCACTCCTGGAACTGCAGGGGCCTGTTCTCCAAGGCGAGCTCAGGGCCTCACTGGGCTGCGCATGCGCCTTTCTCTCTGGGCCTGGCCTCCTGGCTTCTGTCTCCGCCCTCCGCTAGCCTATCCATGCACACCTAGGGTTATGTTTAATTTATAAACTAGGCACAGTAAGCGATTAGGAATAACGAATTAAAACAATTAAGGAATCACCTGGAATAACAGTGACGCGCATGTGGCCTCTGCTTATTTCCGGAATTTGCATCTACGCTTTCCTGGTGTGGCTGACCCTGGGTAATCCCAACTGTGCTTAGAAGAGCGGTGGGCAGGGGGGTTCAGTACCGGGCCCAGCCCAGGCCCTGTGCAGAGGGGCGGCTCAGGAGCAGGAGGCAGGGTCCCCCCAGGCCACGGGTCATCTCCAAGGGGTCATCTCCAGGGACAGCGGGGTGCTTCGGGTGTCTGCAGTCAAAACAGGAGGGAAACAGCGACCCAAACCGGATGTGCACAGTGTTTCTATCAGCCTGCCCGAACCTGGGTGGTTTCCAATAGAAAGTCCATCTGGGGACCAAACAAAAATCTAAGAAAACTCTGCGTATGCGTATTGAATAGATGCAGAGAATCAGAGAAAAGTAACATATTTAGAGGTAGAATTTAGAAATCAGAAACTGCATATAACAGTGAAGGAAGCACAGGCATAGCCAAGAATAATCCAAACATCCTCCAGGAACGGACCACCTATCGGAACAGAAATGCAAAGGCCGTTCTCACCGCGTCTCAAGGCCGTGGTCTCAGGGCTGCGAGGCCCACAGTGCATGAGAAGCCGCATGGGGAACCTGGATGGAAGGACTGTGGGATACAAGAAAACGCCCAGCTCCAACTCAACACATCAGGAAATAAGAGCTTGTCTCCCTATTCCAAATAAGCTGTGCCATCTCTCCATCTTTGTTTTCTGTTTTGATGCTGTATGAAACTGATAAGAGCTTCCAATAAACAGCAGTCGGGCAATCCAGGCTGCACTAGTGCAGTCCCAGTTTCCGGGCAGAATCCAGGGCTGCAGATAAGACAAGAAGCACTGTCACTTAGTTAAACATAAACTATGTTACTATTTTTTTCCTTTGCAGGCATCGCAATAATATTATCCACAAGTGGACGCTGCAAAGCAATTTCCTTTCTTTCCTCGTTTTCTCTCTTGCACTAATATGTGATGCAAATACAGAATGGGTGTCAGATGCCGTGACCAGGAGCGCATCCCTGACGCAGGCTCAGTGGCAGGGTGCACCAAGCCCCCTTCCCTCTGCAACCGGCCCGGCAAGGAGCCTGGAGCTCGGGGTAGAAGATGCAGGGCCGCAGCAGACACCTGGGTCTCAAAACAGTGGCGAAGGTGTGCTCTGGCTAGCAGGTGGGTAAGACAGTGCTGTCAAGAAAGGGGCTGTGTGCAGAAGTTATTTTTATTTTTCCTTGAAGGACTTTTTGATTTTCATCAAAATCTAGAATTTCAAGACCTATACCTGAATATGTCTCTTTCTCAAAATTAAGTAAAAATGACTGCTATCTGAAACATGAAGTCTACTTTTCACCTGAGCCACATTTCCTTTAAAGTAGCACCAAAACAAAGCAATGTCTTTTTAACTTCACTAAAAATTTGAAAATTGTCATTTTGCCAAAATCCGTATGCTGCTTTAACTACCAACTGATTATTTTGAAAAAAATCCAGGGCCGGGGATTTAGCTCAGTGGTTCCGGCACCTGCCTCACACGAGCCAGATCCCGAGTTCAATCCCCAGTACCAAAAAAAAAAATCATTGAAAAAAATCCAAATGAAGGAACGGTTACGGGAACTGCACAGTGACCTGCAGCACAACAATCTCCATCTCTCCGGGCCTTTCCTTTTTTCTTGTCTAATAAAAACAATAATTATCGCCACTATTGTTGCTGCTGCTGAACAATTTGAGAGTAAGCTATATATCTGATGCTTCTCTCCCCCTAAATATTTCAACATCATTTTCTAAGAACAAAGACAATCTTTTATAGAACCATCTGCAAAGGAAAATTTTTCTGTGCTTATCTTTAGTTTTAAGAACTTAGACATGGTAGTGTTGTAAAACTCCGGTTGAAGGTAAAAATCCTTTTTCTTCGTCACAAAGAGTCTTTTTAGCTCCTTGTTCCAAGGAACAGAACAGAGTAAACGTCTTCTGAAGGTGGAGGTTTGTCTGGATTTCAGGAGTCCCCTGTGCTGAGCACACACCCAGTGTCTGCAATTCCAAAATTCTCCTTTGAGAATGACCTCAGCACCTCTCATGTGTGGTGTAACACTGTGATTCCAGCTACTGTCATCCGTCCTCAAGGTCCACGCCGAGACTCCCGTGTTTGGGAACAGGATGTAGTTTTAAAGAAGTACACGGAACATTTTCTTCCAACGTGAGTCTAAATCTTGACTTATTTTTGAATACGCTTGGCATTTGTGTCAGTGCTTTGGATTTCAGCACCCAGAGGCAGATGCAGCGAGAAAAGTCAGTGACATTTTAGATTGATTAAAGAACCCTTTAATGATATCACCCTTATATCCCAAGCCCCCCACCCCCCAAAAAAACGTTCCAAAGAAAGCCAAGGCTCTGCAAACAGACTTCTATTAAAATTAATTTTTTAATAACTGCTTGGTGTTATCACTACTTCCCCAAATGCTAATTAATTCTAACTCTAAACTATGTAATTATAATACTTCTGCTGAAATACAAATTATCTGGTGCCCCTGGGGTGAAGGAGTTAGAATGTATTTCATGTTCGTTCAGCAGCGAGACGCCAGCTCTGCCACCATGGAAACAATGTAGCCGGGCTGGCTCCCCTCCCCCAGCCTCGCTGCCCTTCCTCTTCCTGGGAGACCGGATTGGGGACAGTTGGCGTCCCCTGGTTTAATGCCTCTCTCCGAGGTCCTGGGGGGGAACCGCGGCTCGCCAAGTTATTTCTGGCCAGGCGCTGCGGCACACGTGGTGGCTTCATTTAGTCAGCGGCCTAAGTGGCAGCCCAGGTAACTGCAGGATGGGAATTGCCGTTGCCATGGCAATGGAACAACTCTTCCTGGTTCTGTCAAAACCCATTTCTCTCTGCGACTAGGCAGGGGTCAGGGAGGAAAGACACGCCCGTGCCAGGAGAAAATGTGAGGAAGGAGGGACTCTGCAGCACCCACCCGGGGTGTGGGAGAGAAATTCCACAGCCTTTCCTGCAAAGATTTGTGCACACTGTGATGTTTCCAACCCAAGTCCTTTTATTTTTTTCTCTCATTGGAAGCAGAAAATATAAGTTTTTTTTTTTTCTCCTGAAACCTCAAAACAGCTATCACAGCACTGCCTGGTCCCATTTTCCAGTTGTCCATTTTTTCTGCTGCCTCCGAGGGATCCCATGGTGCTGGCTGACACCCTCTCCCGGCCCCGCCAGCCCTGGGGATGAACAAGCCCAGGACCTGGACATGCCACACAAGAGCCTCACCACCGAGCTATACCCCAAACTCCCAGCACTCTGCTTTCAGACCTAATATACATTCGCCCATTCTACCCTGAACCCAAAGATGTCAGGCTGGGACTGGGCTCATGGGAAGACGTGAAGTAGGCAGGTAGACCAGAACTCTCCTCTCTGCCTCTTTGGGATGCAGTTTGGGAGACTCAGGGTGCTGAGTGCAGAGGGGCTGGGCTCCGGTCCCTGGTCTGGGGCATTTGTCACTGCCGCCTGTCCCTGGCTTGGCCTTGGTTTGACCCCCAGTTTCCCCTTGCACTGGCCGGTTGGCCTGGTGCATGGCTCTGAGCGGTAGCTTTGGCTCGCAGTGCCCACTGCCCTGCTGCCCAGTGTCCCTGGGCTCACAGAGACCTGAGGACTTAGAGCAGAGGAAGGGGGTGCCCAGGCTCAGGCACTCGGCTCTAAGGGGAGGACACAGCACCTGACAGTGACCATTCCTGAGTTCAGCACCGACAGCCGACACCCTCCCTAGGGACCTCCGTTGCAGGTTCGTGAGTCCCCTCAGCACCCACAATGCTGTGGGCAATTTTGTCCATGTGGCTGCGACTTCTAAGTGACCGTGGGATGGAGGGTTCCCGGGTAATACAGGCTGACCTCTGGCCAGAGTCAAAGGGCACGCTCTTCCTTCCTCTCTTTTCTTCTTCTTGTTCTCCTCCTCCTCCTCCTCC